TGTAATTTCACTGCATGGGCATTGGGTGTTATAGAACTGATATGAAGTGAATGTCGCATCTCCTGCTTCCTGCTGGGCTGGGCTCCGTGCCAGGTCTTCTTACCTGCCACTCAGCACAAAGTGATATTTGTGCAAGGCAAGGGTGAGACAAGGACATAGCTACCAGCCTGGGCCATGCACACAAGCTGGAGATGTGGATTCTCTCCTTTACTAGCCATCATGTAACTCTTCCCTGTAAATCCCAACTATTTGAAGTGCGTGAATTTTACTCACAGTAAGCAGATAGCATGTTTATACTTATGGGAATATGAAAGAAAATTAAAAACAAAACAAAAAAACCCAAAACACAACAGAAAGGCACTAAGGGCTTTGTTTCTGAGGTTCTCTTGTCATTGACTTCATTTAAACTATCAGCCTGTAGAAGTTCTGTCTTCAAAGTATGTATACAGATATTTGTTAGTCAACAGATGACCCCTGCTGGTGTGCAAAAATCTGTGCTAGCAAATTTATAAATCAATGCAAAGAAAATCCCTTTGAATCAGCTTTTGCTAAATGCACCAAAAAGCCCCAATGAAGTGCCTGATCTATATAGACGCTGTGGATCTGGGTTGACGTAACATGCCACTGCTCCTGGTAGGGTGCTTTTTTCTTCCACATCTGTCAGCACCTTTTGCTCTATATAATGTTAAATAAACTTTCATTTCTATAAAGGATGTTCTCATTTAATATTGTGGAAATATATATTACTTGTTATGTCACAACGCTTTAATGAAAATTCCAGCAACTACTTTTCTTATTAAATATTGATTAAATCTGTTGCTGTGTATATCTAGTCATATGTGTCCATCTGTAACATAATAATATCATATTGGATATATATATATATATTAAGAACATAGTGAAGGGAAAGGGGTTATTTAAATGTTACTGAAAATGTTCTTCTTTATAATATTTTTAGCTAAATTTCAGCCAAGCTCTACCACTGGATTGGTTGCATAGTGTCTAACAATGTGGGTTTTTAAGTTTTTAAGCAACTTTAAGACCTCACAAGTTTTTGCAGGAGGAAGTTCCATACATACAGGCAAAGGCAAAGAAAGTTAGGATTAGCCATTTGCTGCTTTCATGAGTCTCCTCCTAGTGGTCAATAATTGATGAAACAGTGATTACATTGTTTCAGTGTAGCTGTCATTGGGGTTTCAGCCACAGAGAAATTGTCTTTGGATAATTTCATAGACTTGGAGGGGTTTGAATAGAAAGGTATTACTTCATAACCCTCTGTGGTATAATCATCCAGAGACATTATTTATTCCTCTGTGTCATTCTCATTTGAATTAATAACTTCCTTTTCTTCTTGGGAGTCCAGTAGAGTCACAACTTGCCAATTCCCAGTGCTTAGAGCATCTCAATAATTTTTTGTGACTTGTTTTTGATATTTTTGAAGGTCTACTTATAATGTTGCTTTTAGTCTGGCTAATTAAATCTTTCTAGATATAATGTGTGTTTCCCTTTATAGTTTCACTTGTGCTAGATTTTAAAATGCTGAAAATGTGTTTGGCTCAAGCCAGCCATCTTGGCAAGCAGCAATACCTTTTTTCTGACTACTTGCTTGCTTTTAAATGTAGGGGCCTTCTCAGCTTTTCTGGTAAACTTTATGTAGTTTCCACAGAGCCTTAAGATTTTCATTTTTTAATTTTTTTTTAAATTAAAAGCTGCTATTTTGCACTAACCTTTCTGCACAAAAGATTTTCACCTTAATTATTATGTTGGTTGTTTTTATGCAACAATATAACTGTAACTGGTTCTTGAATCCATTTCTTTGTTATGTAGGGCTATTGAACTAGTCTTTATAAGATGCAATACTTCAGATAATAGAGTATTACTTCTGTAAACTTCAGTTCTCCACTGTGAAACCATGGCAGTAATATTTATTTATATTTCTATCATGGTAGCTTTCTAGTTAGCATAATTTTAATTTTTTTAATATTACTGAAACTAGAACCAGATACAAAATCAGGACTGAGGTACATAAACGAGGACTTAAGCAGCAAGGCCACCATCCAAAATGATCATAAAAATACCCCTATCAGCTGTCACCTAACCTGTCATCACCCTTTCAGTCCTTGGCCCTCCCTGGCTATCTGTGGCCCTAACCCAGTGAACTATCTTCCAGCTCAGCTCCTGAGAGAGGGACTTGATTGGTTCAAGGGGAGACTGAGTGCACCCAAAGTGCCAAGCAGCAAAGCAAATTCTCTTCAGGCTTTTTTGCCTTTAGTTGGAGTAAAAAAACTTCAGAGCAAGACTACTTTCTCCATTTAAAGGGCAAGCAGTCACTCTGTCCCCATCTAGCCTGCACAGCCCTGAGCACCCACAAAGTTAGCTCAGCCCCAAGCCACACAACCCCAGAATACCCCGGTATACTTGGCTATGTCCTTGCTTCTGACTTATCAGGTTCTTCAGCTTACCACCAGCTCTCAGTTTATTAGCCTGCTCTGTCCACTGTGATGCTGATCTCCTTCAACTCCTCTGGACACTTCCTGGGCATTGCTGCCAGTCCCACCTTGTTGACTTGTCAACAAAGCTATACAAATCCTTTATAGAGGGATGTACCTTCTGTCCCATAGGCCAGGTACCTCTGGCTTCAGTGTACCTTAACACTTTCTTTCCCTTTGTGCAAGTTAGTCAAGGAAACTGAAGCATGCTGTATGATTACAATTTGAACATATTTAAAAAAATTATTACAATACAACCCATAGTCCATCACAGCTCCTCACTCTTCCCAAGCATTTTATAGGAAGTCAAGATATGTAACAGAGTTATAGATTCTTCTCTGGTGGGTAAGGACCAAAACCACAAATTAGGACCTAAACTCCTAAACAACTTTGTAAATCAGGTCCAAGGGACTTTTAGGTAGGTTTTGTGGCACCTGTTGCGCAGCTAAGTCCTCCTTTGAACCAGATTTGGAGAATTGGGCCACATCTCCTCTGAATCGAATCAGCTACCAAAGCTTTGCACAGCCCTACGGGACACACCAGAATAAAACTGAACAGCAAAGACTGCTGTGCTAGGTTGTCCTCTCCCTCCCACATTTTTCTAAACTTCACATTAAGCAAAACAAAATAAGAAACAAAACTATTATTAATGCATGCAAAAATATCAATTCTCATAACTTCAGAACTACTGAGCCAGTTTTCTTCAAATTTGGCTTGTTTCTTTAGTCTCCAAAAGATCTGCAAAATCAAATCAATACTATAAAAAACATGAAGAATGGAAAAATGGTGAGGGGGCTTATAAATGGATGAAATTTAAAAAATAAACTAACTCTGAGCCAAGGCCAACTAGAGAAAAATTACCACCCTCCTCCACATTGGTTTATAATAGTCGTGTACAAGTCATAAGGGGCATAGCAAGAGGAACTTCTTTAAAAAAAAAGCTGTTTTTTTAACTGGTCTTTAATGTTACTTTAATACTTTAATGAATGTTTGCACCCCCTTGTATATGGATACTCCCATGACTTGTGGAAAGGTTAAATCAATCCCAATCCACAGGAGTCTACCTCATTTTCTTCCTGTTTTTTATGGCAAACATGACTGTTGAAAGAATGAGACCCATGTAGAACTTATGTTCAAAAACCAGGTTATCCTTAATTTGATTTTCCTATGTCCTGAAGATCTCCATAGTCACAGAAACAACTAGACATAAACTTACCATGACTAACACAGTGAAATCCAAGTAGCAATGTGAGAAAGAGCATTTGGACCATATTTTATTCTCTGAAGAAGTGGCTTATACATGTTTTGAGTGGTAAAATTCAGAACCAATTACAGTAATATTAAAATGTTTTTTATCTACAGAACGCAGCAGTACAGAAATAAAAATTGAAAACCTATGGAAATTTTCTGTCATTATCATCATCATTTCTTGCTCCTTCCTCTTCCCTTAATTAAATAAGTTAATTAAAATAGTAATTAGTAGCAATATGTCCAGACATAGATACAATATCTGCATATTTTCCTCACTTCTAAATTGTTCAGATCATTGATATTAAGCTTCAGCTATGGACTGTGTGAACTGCTTACAATAAAAAATCCTTTGTTAGCATTTTTTGCATGACAGTGAAAGTCTAGGGAAAATAGAGTAATAATGAAAAGCAAAGAGGATGATTAGTTTTGTGGTTAAGGCACTAAATGGGTGCTCAGAAACCTCAGTTTAGTGCCTAGTTGCACTATAAATTTTCTCTGTGACCTTGGGCAAATCACTTAATCTCTCTGCGCTTCAGTTCCCCATTTAGTTTTCAAAAGGATAAATACTTCTTTGTCTGACTGTAAACTCCTCAGGTCAGGACTGCATCTTACTTTGTCATACCCTAGGGCAATGGATTCTGGGTTTGGAATGGGTATAATAATGCTACTGTCATGTAAATATATACATGAAAGAATATATATTTCATCCTCCCAGGCTAAACTGGCCATATGACTGTACAGGGAATTATTCTTATTAACCCCTACAGAAGCACCTTGGAGACCTCTATGAGAATTAGGGGCCCACTTTGTTCGGCTCTGGACAAACATCCAATGAGGGTGGAGTCAATGATGTTTTAAGTCCCTCAGTCCAATATTTAGGTACCACTGGCATTCACAAATCCCCTGCCTAACTCTGAAGGTATTTCAAGTCCTGTGGCATCTAAGTTTCTGTTGCCAGGTATATCTATAATCACCTAAGCCCTGACTGCACAGAGGAGCGCTTAGCACAGCACTTCTCTGTCATCTAAGCCCCATCCTATGGCAAGACTGTTATTCTACAAACTAACTACTTTGCTTAGTTTTATTATGACTGACAGAAAAAAGGCACCAAAAAGTTTTATCTAATACTAATGCATCTTGAAAGGATTTTTTCAAATGTCACATAATAACTTGTAAAGATTGATTGACTGCTTGTTAATAAACATTAGGCTATATATTGCTACTTGCTGATGAGTAGTTTGTGTGTTCTGGTCCCTGCAGACTGAAGAAGTCCTGAAGATTGATGGAGGGCCATGCTATTCAAACAGCAGGCGTTGCTGAGACAGAAGCTCTTTGTGCTAGGCAGCCTTGCTATTGGAAGTCTCCTATATCTAGTTGCCAGAGTTGGGAGCTTGGATAGGTAAGTAATTAAACCACCACATCCTGAGGTCACGCTCTTAATTATAAATGAATCTGGATTTTTTTACTCCTCTCCATATGCTTAAAATAGAATTGAGTAAAGGTCTTCAGTTCTTGTTCTTTCTGTTAATGTATAAAAAGATAGTCCATGCTAATATTGATTTTCATTGTTTCTTCCTCCTGTTTGGGCAGAGGGCACGGGAGAATGGAGAGAGTTGTGACTCATCCAAGTCAAAGTATTTCTCTCTGTCCATTTGTATGCTGTGTGCATTGGCACTTTTTTCCAGAGGAGGAATACAGCAACATACAATAAAAATATCATTAGAGTACCGCGTATTTGTCTGTTCACATCTGTGTGTTGACCTCTCATCTCAGCAAAACAGTTATGATGTATTTATGTATCTTCTTTTCTAAATTTACGAGTGAGCAATTAATGTGCTACAGTGGTAGTTAAAATTATGTATGAGCCTGCAGAGTAGCTTGTCAAGTTTTGAATCCTATTGCACTTAAAAGATTGCTGCAGGGTTTGAGAATTTTAACTCTGTTAATTAGCCATGATTTTCTGGAGTTGAATGTACCAGACAAGGAGGCTGTCTCTGCAAGTGATTTCCTAGAGAGAGTGAAAAATCCACTGAGAGGAAATTAGAGAGCATTTGGCAATTTTGACCAGGCATACTCTTCAGAGGGGGATATAACAAACTATTGGGGATATAATAGTCCTCTCACTAACAGGTGTACTGTTTTTGACACCTTCAGAAAGACCCAAGATTGATCTATTAGATTCCACATGGTAAAAGACTTGACAAAACCATAACTGAAATTAAAGTTTGGGCTCCCTATAGGTTGAGACCTCACTTTGAACAGACTGGGGCTTTTGTCTGGGTAAAACAGATCTTAAGTGGCAAGTTGTGATATGATGTCATTCAAAATAGCCAGTTAATGTAAAACTGCATACAAACTCCAGGCGACTATTGGCTAATATGAGGACATTGGGCGCCTTCCTCTTTGATTCACTTCTGTCCCATTCTTGACTTCAGTAGAAGAAGACAGTTTGTTTAACTAAAAGGAATCAGCACCCCATAGGCCTCTAAACTGGAATATTCGTGGCCAATTCCTGATGCTGCAGAGGGGGTTAAAATTGTACCTAAACAATTATGTGATTCTGCAGATGGGATAGAAAGCCTTCTTGACTCCTGTAGGAGTTCATCATATGCCCTGAGGCATGAAATTTAATTAACCTTATATCATTATCTGTGCTTGCACAGCTACAAATATTATCGATGGTCATAAAATTATCTAGCCACAATATTTAACTCACTGACCTCCTGCAGCACAGAATTCCACAGGTTCCATATATAATATTTCTAATGACAGTAACATTTATCTTCATCTTCATCTCTTAAGCAATATGAAAAATACCACACTGCCTTTCTTTGGGCTTATAAAAGAACAAGAAAAAGAGATATGAATGAATTGGCTTTCTACATTTGTTAGGACACAATCCAAAACTCACTCAAGTCAGTAGAAAAAGATGTCCATTGACTTCACTGGGCTTCAAATTAGAGCTGTAATCACTAAGGTTGGCATTCTGTTCTTTCCTGATTTTCCAAATGACCTTTTTTTTCACTTCTACAGGGCATTGATGGCACTTACTTGCCCAAAAGAATACTATGTCACCCATTTTTAGCCTAAGTAACTGACCAAGGGCGCTTACACAAGTTACATTTTTAACTCAGTCTGAAAGTACTCTACAGCCATGACATAACATGCATAAATGGACGTA